ACGGCTCTCCTGAACTGTATCATGTTCAGTTTATCGAAGACCCTTTCAGAGATCGCACGGCTCTCTTCCAGTGGCAAAGTGAAAACAAGGAAATTTTATCGCCATTGAAATTACAAATAAAGAAGTTATCACAAGTGTTGTTCATTTTGTGCACTGAGTTTCGTTGAAAAGATTCAATTTTAGAATCAGAATTGTGCGGTGCGTGGTTAGGACAATTCCAGAGCGGAAACTAAAGTTGAAAAGAAATAAGTAAAACTACGCGGTGCTTGTAAACATGTTGTGCATACAAGACATACAAGATAAAGTCGTCGAAATACCATTCGTCGAGGTAAACGAACATTTTGGTTTTGCAAAATATTTCTTTCTCACATTATTTTTGTTTTTCTTTGGTATTCGAGATAAATTTGACATAAAAATGTATCCGTTCCGCTTTTCACCGGTCAAAGAGAAGTGCTTTCTTCTCGTATATTTGATCGAATCGTTAAAAAAACAATTCCTTGCTTCCTAATTGCTTTATTGTTCATTGTTCGACTGGGTAATCTTGCCTAATTAGTGAGAGCTGATTGCATAGTGTTCGCGACGCGCGATGTTAGTGTTACTCACGAGCGAGAAATGAAAAAAAACTGAAATAAAATCAACAGTGGCCCAGCGGTGGCATGAAGGGAATTTTTATATCGTGTAATTTTCAGTTTATGCTCGCTTTTTCAATATTGGACTTATTTTTTTAAGAGAGAAAACAAATTTCTCATCTGAGTGGATATTATGATCATAATCACTTTATTCACGTCTAGAAAAATCCAAATCCATCAAATACCACAGTGTTTGCAAAGGCGTTTCAGAAATTATCGTTGTTAGATGCTTGTTTGCGGTCAATTTAGCCGATGACTCATACCGGTTCGTGCTGAATCAATCGAATTGATCAGCTCATGTGAGTGTTTGTGAGTTTTTGGTGAATCATATGCAAATTGGATGGGTTTTTGCGAATTCATTTGTTTTCAAATAGAAAACATTTCTTTCGCCTCATTCAAAATTGAAGTTAAGTCATGAATAATGGATGCACTAGCGAAAATTCAATTAATCGTAACGATGGATCGTGGAATGTTATCAGCATTCGTTAGCGATTGAAAATGGATGAATGTGTGTGTGTTGATGGTCGACAATGGAAAGTGCGACGGACCATTTATCTTGTCTTGCCAAATAACGTTACGTCACGAAAATCGATTGAAAAACACAAACGACTTGAAAGTGCTGCGGCTTTCACGCTATGAATCAGATAGAGAGAGAAATTTGCGTCAAACATTCACCGAAAATTGTGCTATGCCCGTCTCTTGAGCACAGTTCCCTTAATTACTTTATTCCACATCATTCAAATTCTTTTCGAGTTCGAAAAAAGAAATTTTTCTCGTTCGAAAACAGCAGAAAAAAAAGACCCGATAAGAATGAGAAGAATACGTTCATCGGTTTACATTATTCAATTTGAGATCAACGCGTCTTACCATTGCAAAGCGCAGCGCTTCAGAATAACCCATATCATGACCGGTTCAAATACCTTTTTCAACGTTTTGATGCGCGATTGCGCTCGCTCGAACACACACGACACAACATAATCTGAACGGAATCAATCTGTTTAACTCTTCTTCGTGACTCTATTTTGATTTTTTCTTACCTACAATCACACAAGACCTGTCTCGTTCGCGGGACAGTCTCTTGTCTTTCATTCCAGAGAGATGTAAGATAAGTCGATTGAAACCGATAAAAAAAATACAAACATACCGAATGAAAGAAACACGCACAAAACATGCAACAGCTCTGACACTATTTCGAGTGTGTGTGTTTCTCTCTCTCAGTCCGTCTCTCTATACAATGTTGTTCGTACGCAGATTGTTTTTGATTTGGGTTAGGCCATTGTTTGTTATTAATTACAGTAACTGTAACAGTTTAGCCGCGACGTGGCGGCGAGGCCGCTTCAATATGTCTGTATGTGTGTGCGCGCTCGCGCTCACATCACTTGCAACATATATTAAATATGTTTATCATTTTTTTTGCTTCGTACGCATGAGAAAACAATAAAACAACAAAAAGAAAAGAAAGAAACGCCATACAAATCCACAAATACACTCGTTGGACCGTTGAGATCTCGAAGAACATGCGGTCGTTGTATCTTCCACATATATTGATGCAACGCATCGGCTTTGAAAATTGCACACGAAAACGACTACTTCATTACGATCAACAATGATGTGGGGCATCAGCATTCTCATTCCGTTTAAAATGTGTGCGCTTTTTTTTCTTTCTCATTCGCCTTCCACTTCTTCTTCTCTCGTCTCGTTGGTGTTCACATCTCAAGCGCGAATACACATCTAATTAAAAAAAAAGAATGTGCTTACGTGGAATACCTCGGTCGAAACGCATAATTTAATACGCACTCGCAATGATCGCTCATTTACGAACAATTAAATGCGGTGGCACAGATGTGAAGAGCTGACTGAACAAGGGAAAGAAAATATGAACAAGCATAAAAAATGCTCTCAAGGTCGCTCCGGACGAACCGTAGCGCCAAACATGACCTTTTTCCCATGCTGAACCAATTTAAATGGAATGAGACTTTAAATTGAAATTAGTCGCAAAGAAATGCTTCTGTCTTCCACTGATATGTATCAGTACATTCAAAATTCCGGGCGATGATTTAACTCTTTGTTTGGCTTCCTCTTTTTTTTTTACTTTGTAGAACTTTAAAAAATCCCCGCCGATCAATTTCTGTTTTACTACGCATTTCTGTGAAATAAAAATAGTTTTCAAAAACATCCGACGATATGGTTTTATCAGAATAATTTCATTCCTTCATTCATTCCTGCAGTAGTAAATTGTTTTCAAAAACTCATTTGCACACTAAAAGAACGAAATAAAGAATCGTCAACACGCTACTTTCATGATATTTTGAATGTTTTTTTTCAATGAGACATCAGTTTGTTCGTTCATCGCATGGAATGTGACCTTCAACTATATTTGTTTCGATTTTATTTCTTTTCAAAAAACAAAGAATTGTGTGGCGATAAGAAAAACATTCATCGAAATCGCAGTAGCATGGAGTCTTTAGCAGGAAACATCAATTGCACTCATCTCAAATGAACACTCAAAAGAGCCGCCCAAAAAAAAGAGATTTTGCTCTGTCTGTGTCATTGCAATACAGTTTTCATGGCAAAATGAGTAAAATAAATTGAATATTTAATATTTAATAACTTTTTTTTCGTTTTTCTTTCTTCAAAAAAATAAAGACCAAAGTAAAAGCAACATACAAAATAGTGTTATATTTCTTACTAGAATACAGTTAATTTTATGAAAGATTCATACGAGAAGAGTGCAAATGTTGTCATCCCTAGTCATCAGTCGGTTAATGCAGTTGATAATAGAAAATAGTTGAGTAACTCATTTCACAGAAAGGAAGTGACAAGTTGTCAAAATCTTCAAATAAAATCAAAGTTATTCATAGCGTTCACAAGTTTTGGAAGGAAGAAGAAAAAAACCCAAGTTGACGTCAGCCAAACGGAATGATAAGGCATATCTTATTGGATCAAATTCCATTGGGTGATGATCATAGTTACTTGAAAACGAAATCATAATAGAAGGATTCTGTTATTGATATCAAAAAGTTTTTTTTACGATCACTACAGCAGGAGAAGTACGCAAACGTGTGAAAGTTAAACAAACGATTATCAGAAATTTTTTTGAATTTCATATTTTACTTACATAACAGCCGGCAGTTTATCTGGGTAATTAAAATTCTCTGGAAATTATTATCTCTCCCCTCCTGAAAAGTAAAATTACTCGAAGTTTATTGCTCATTTTGCGAATCAAAGAATCAGCTGATTCAAACGCAAATAATGCGAATCATGCGCCACAAATAGAATAAACAAAACATTTTTCATGTGACAGACAAAGGCCAATGTCACAACGTTCAATTAAATCTATAAAATAAAACCTTTAATTGTATTAGCATAAATAAAATGAGCATTCGATAGATGACACGCATTTAACATGCAAATCACGACAATTGCCGTTGAATCGTCATTTGTAAACACGCAAAGTTCAGCAAATAGCTGACAGCTATCAAGCTGACTTCATTCAATAAAATCAATTGAAATTACGTAATGATGATCGTAAAGTTCGTGTTTATCCTTACGAACGGTACTACACTGAAGTATGAAAACGTTTAAAACTTTCCAACAGATAACCAAATCATTTTTCTAAACAAATTGAAACAGAACAAAATGGGAGTTTAAACGGTTTTTTTTATATTTGTAGCCATATCAAATTGGTTGTAAAACCGAAAAAACCACGTAACAAGATATCGAACGATAAACGACTGACTGTACAAGATTAAATTACTTAAAGGTGTGTTCCACTGAAAGTGTGTGCTCTCTCGGTGCCCGTTCAAATTTCAAGGCAAACGTCATTAATTGTGTTTATCAATTGGCAACCGATCAAATGTATGTCAATAAAAGTTGATAAATTGTCTCTCTACGTGTGTTTTTTTTCTGTTAGCCGTTGGAATTTGGTTGAGCAAATAAAATCGGAATCAATTTGATTGAAACAAGTAGCACGCCTAACTTTCGAATATTGAATAACATTCGATTTGAAATGAAATCGAATTAGTTCGATTCCAAACACAAAACTTGTTTCTTCAAATGAAATTTCATCTCATTCTTTGAGATAGAGAACATTCGATCCGCGTATCATTGTCGAACAGTTTAAGTCAACTGTATGGAATCATATCTCCCACGTTCGCTTTGCTGTCGCAGACCACAGAGAGGAAAAAGTGATTGAAACCCACACGAACACAGTATACCCAATATAAATACCATTTATTTTTGTTAAGACTCGCCGGATTCCAAATACAGACAAATGCGCATTCGAAAATGATACCCAAAACAACAAAATGTAGACGAACTGATTTCATTAATAGATATTAATGTTTCGGTTTTCTTTGTGTGTATTTTCAGATTGATAAAAACAACGATGGTTTTATTGAACTGAAGGAGCTAAAAGATGCGCTAGACCAATGCGGCTTCAAATTGCCCGGCTATCGAGTACGTGAAATGATCGCCGAATACAGCAGCAAACAGAATGTCAGCACTCAGGGAAAGCTATCGTACGAAGAATTTGAAGCATTATGCACGGAATTGAAGGCAAAAGAGGTGGCCAGCACATTCAAAGCGGTCGTATCGAAAAAGGAGAATGTCGAAACGTTGGGCGGTATGTCAAGCCAGTCAGCAGATGGTACAACACATTCGGTGCGAATGGAAGAGCAGTTAGCCTTTTCGGATTGGATCAATTCCAATTTGATTTTAGATAAAGACCTAAAACATTTGCTGCCAATTGATGGCGAAGGCAAAACACTGTATCAAAAAATCAAGGATGGAATTTTGCTGTGTAAAATCATTAACCATTCGTGCCCGGACACAATCGATGAACGTGCAATTAATAAGAAAAACCTGACCGTTTATCGGGAATTTGAGAATTTGACATTGGCTCTGGTGTCATCGCAAGCAATTGGCTGCAACATTGTGAATATTGATGCTCACGATTTGGCTAAAGGAAAACCACACTTGGTGCTCGGTTTGCTGTGGCAAATCATCCGGATCGGTCTATTCAGTCATATTACGCTCGACAGCTGTCCGGTAAGTTACCCTCTTTGCTTGATGCATTTTCGGATTTATTGAAAATATTTTAATTTATTCAAAATTTATACCAATCTAGGGTTTGGCCACACTTTTGTTCGATGGTGAACGATTAGAAGACCTTTTGAAGTTGTCACCCGAAGCTATACTGTTGCGTTGGGTCAATTATCACTTGGAACGAGCCGGTGTTGCCAGACGTTGCACCAATTTCCAAAGTGACATCACCGATTCCGAAGTGTATACCTATTTGTTGAAACAAATCGCTCCGGCCGATGCTGGTGTCACATTGGAAGCGTTGCGCGACCATGAAATGAGCAGCCGAGCAGAAGTCATGCTACAACAAGCGGCCAAATTGAATTGTCGCAGTTTCCTTACGCCACAAGACGTTGTGAACGGTGTTTACAAATTGAATTTGGCCTTCGTTGCCAATCTCTTCAACAACCATCCCGGTCTTGATCAACCCGAACAAATCGAAGGATTGGACGCCATCGAAGAAACACGCGAAGAAAAAAGTAAATTTCAATAATCATCTCTTTCTTCTGTTTTTGTTCAATTTTCAACTCTTTCCATGAGTCGACTTGAAACGTATTTTTTTGCTCTATTTTTAGCTTACCGAAACTGGATGAATTCGATGGGTGTGTCACCACACGTAAACTGGTTGTACTCGGATCTGGCTGATGGTTTAGTCATCTTCCAGTTGTTCGATATCATTAAACCCGGCTCAGTCAATTGGACTCGTGTACATCGTAAATTTTCACCATTACGAAAATTCATGGAGAAATTGGAGAACTGCAATTATGCCGTTGAACTAGGAAAACAGTTGAAATTCTCATTGGTCGGCATCGCTGGCCATGATTTGAGCGATGGAAATGCTACATTGACATTAGGTGAGATGATATAAACGTGTATGGCTGCATTTACACTTGGATTATAGTCAAAATGATCATTTAAACATATTTCCATTTCGTATCTAATCGAATTTTAATATTTTAGCTTTGATTTGGCAAATTATGCGTGCATACACATTGTCGGTGCTAACGAGTTTGGCCAATTCAAACAGTCCAATTATCGAAAAAGAGATTGTTGCTTGGGTGAATAAGAAATTGGAAGCGGCTGGCAAAAAGAGTAGCCTACGAAATTTCCAAGACTCAAAAATTTCCGACGGCAAAATTGTCATTGACTTGGTGGATGCCATTAAACCAGGTTCAGTCAACTACGACAACATCAAAAGCGGTGACTCTGAAGAGGTAACCAATCATTTTAAAAAGCGATTTTTTTCGTTCATCTTTAAAAAAAACTTCAAATATCCGTTATTTTGTAGGACCATTTGGCGAATGCAAAGTATGCAATTTCAATGGCTCGAAAGATCGGTGCCCGTGTGTATGCTCTGCCTGAGGACATAACCGAAGTGAAACCGAAAATGGTGATGACAGTATTTGCGTGCTTAATGGCAATGGATTATGTCCCGAACATGGATTCAGTACCGGATCAAAACAACTCAACGCCCGTCGTTGCCACAGAAGCCAACGAAATCATAGAACCAACGACCATTCAGAGCAATGGCGATTAGGCGCGGCTCGCACCACACTTCCCAGCACAACAACAACTATAATAATAATATAAAAGGAGAAACATTCATGTAGTATTCGTGATGAATTCCGATTTCATTAGTTTGATAAGAATCAAGTGAAAGAGAATAATTGCAATCCAAAAGCAAAATGAACCAATGAATAGAAACGAATTGAATAGTAAACAAATGAAAAGAGAAAGATGGATGAAGAGTGTGTGTGCGTAGTATGAACGTTGCGAAAACGTGGAATGAAAGCAGAAGAGCATAGATTAAAACTGGGTTTCCGTTCGTTTATTAAGTCAACTGCTATTTCTGGAATTTTTTTTATCTTATTTGTATTCCATGCTTATCATTCGAGATAACACAGAAAAAAAGACACACACACACAATTTTCACGACAAACTCGTTTGTTTGAAGAAGTTTTTATTTTGCTGGAAACCGGATACAAAGTTCTTGAGTCGTTCAAAAACATCAGCAATTTGTTTCATTAGAATTGTAGCAAAAAGAAAAAAAACGAATTGTATTTATGCATGCAACAAGGTTGAACAAACGCACTGTAAATTTCGAATGCATTTTGAATCGATCATCCATTTCCTATGGTAATGACATGGCGACAAAATGCACTCCATTTCTTTTCTGTACTATGCGTTTTACGATACAGTTTTTTCCTCTATTTTTTTTTTTGGTTTTGTGTGCAATAATGTAATATTATTTATATTCTTTAACAGAAAAAAAACAACAAAGAAACAAGCTGATTTGTAATTTATGTAGAACATTCTTTACCTATATTCGAATAATATTGTCTTTTACAACATCATCGTATTTTGCTTGATTTTTAAACAAAATATCGCCGTATTTTCACATTCGCTCTAAGAGCTATTTAGAACAACCATTTTCAACAGTTTGAACAATTGTGCATTTAAAGATTCTCGATTAAACTGTGAATGGGTTGAATAAACCACAGGAGAACATCGAACATAAGTTTTGATTCTCTACGGATGGACATCGGGCAGGAAAAGAAGAAAGAAAAGACGAAGAAAAAAGAGAAGAGAAAGAAATAAGGAGAAGAAATGGTTATCAATTCCCAAAGACCTTGTCAAAATCTCCAAAAACGCAATTGCCTCAAACTGTTTGTGAAATTGTATGATTTTCGGTTCTTTTCATTTATCGTTTTTTTATATTGATCAAAATATGAATTGAATTTAGGTTTAACACATACCATATTAAATCCATTCATTTACTGTAAATTTATCCAAAATTACCCAAGAAATTAAGATAAACTATTTTAAACAAGAGAAAAAAAAATGGGCTTATGCTCATTACGTCTTACTATGCTTCATTAGGTTAATCATTTTGCGAAAATGTCAACGAAAAAGAAGAAACAACAATAACAACAGCAACAGCAAAAAAGAGAGAGAATAAGTTACGCACTTATTATCATACACAATAATAACTATTGATAAGAATATAAATTGTATACTTGAACATGGCCAACGATCGAAAGAGCAAATGAATATTTTTTAAATGCATAAACAAAGAGAAGAAGAAGAAGTAGACGAAGAAAAGACAAAAAAGTGACACAAAATTTTGATAAATGTGCCATGATATGCCAGCGTCTACTGTTTTGTGCGTGTGGCTTGCAGTGAAATATAGTGAAAAAATAAATCCATGCAATCGGAAATGAGAGAGAAGGTTCCGTTACACTCAACTAAAATGAGCGTACACAAACGCAAACACACATACACAATTCAGTTAATAAACAAAATCAATTTCATTTACAACCAATTAAATTTGTTGACAAACATTTTAAGGTCTACGACGTGTTTTTTTAGTGTAATTTTAATTGCATACGATTAAAAGTAAAAAATACAGAGAACATAACACATACACACACATGCATATATGCAGACAAAAGTGATGGCTCATTTTTTTGTTCTGCTCTTCAATCACACATTGTGCTGACAATTTATTCACCGAATTGGTGAACAAGTTTAACCCTAGCTTCGACATTTATTATTAGCTCTAACGGTATTAATGAATATTGGATAAGCATTAAAATATTAATTTGTAAAAAACAAACAAACAAACAAACAAACACACACACACACACAGTTTCAATTAAAACTAATTTTCCGTAATTTTAATAGCATGGCATAATGATTATATACAGCGTGTGCAGTGTGCACGCCGAAATTATGTAATATTATACTAAAAATATGGAACTATTGATCAATAAAATGATGAAAAAAACAACAACATGAAATTAATGTTTTCTATTGATAAATGGACTTTATTTTTGGTATTTAAAATTGGTTTTGCGGGGACACACACACACACACAGAAAAGGTATGCATTTTTGAGCCAAATGAATTTTATTTTTTGCTTTGGTCCTTGGGAACGGGAAATTTCAGAATAAACGTTTCATTCGATATCGTTTTATTAGTGGTGAATAATGGATAAAACAATAATAACATTGAACCGTAAACACTGTATTGACTCAATTGAAAAATCGATTTGTTGTGCTTGCAAAGCAGAATATTCAATGATTTAAACATCGTATTGTTGTCGTTTGGAATCGCACACAACACGCATAATTGTTGTCATTGCCATTGGCATTGTCATGGAATAAATGAGCGGCGCATTTTATTTCCAATTGTTCCTTGGCAAACAACACTCGCAATTTCGAACGGAAATGGCAAATTCTCTTAAAACTGAATGATTCATATCCAATTGTCTTCTTGAGAAAAATTGGCTGGTGTGCTCATGTTGCAATTGCCAATGATATAAAGCCTTCTGTTTTTCCCACTCGACGTGTTGGTTTTCTTAGTATTTTCGCCTCTCGCTCTCGTCTCTTTGTTGTGAATGTCAAATCATCGACGCTGAGAAGCGAATCAAGCAAAAAAATTGATTCGTTTGTGCTTCTATTGTATGGATAAAATTATGAATCAATAAATTTTTTAGTTTTGATCTTACCTAATTGTGTGGCCAGTAAACATTTTCTTTTACGGTGGCACATTTGCTCAACAGGCACATCGATCCGATTTGGTCAATTGTTAAACCAGCGTACAACGCTTGATTGAATAATCAAACTGAAATGACTAGATCAGATTTCGCAAATGTGCGAAAGAATAACCAAACATTCAACTCAAATTGTCTTCGGCGCTAGCTCAAATATTGGTAAAATATGTATATAAGCATTGGCCAGCTGCTGTACCAAATTTAGTTGGACATTTGCATGCAAACAGATTGAACATTATCGAACAAAGTGAATAGTAAATGATCGCAAGATCGCAAATCTTTCAAATCTCGCATGTTCAGTGACAATGGAGGTACATCAACGTGATTTATGAATTTTTTTTGCGTTAAATTCTACAATTTTCGAAGTGTTTCATCCAAATTAAAAGTTTCTCAATTTGAATTTTTGTTTTTATTTCGACTTGTTTTCTTTTCTAATGGTGACATGTTCCAATTTTATCCTTTAGATTATAAATGTTTGGATTTTAAAATTGGTGCTGACATGGATTATATCGACGGTTGAATGCGACGCAGTGGATCGAACAAAACGAGACTTTCAAAATGAAGTGTCCAACAACAATGCTGAATTCTTTCGGGACGATGTCAGTCCAATAACTCACATGGAATTGGGCGAAGAGAAGCGTACACGACGCAATAGTGAATTTGATCGTGGATACGATGAGTTCTTACGGAATTACTACAATGATAACGGTGTCGATCGCCGTGGCCAGAAATACCAGGTGAATGAAAGCGATGAAGGTGACAGTGCTGATAGTTCAAGTACAAGTGACGAAGACGATGGTGATGATGATGAAAGTGAATCGGCTGAAAGTGAAGAGCATCGAAAAAAATACAAACCCAAAGCGAATGGCAAGAATAAGAATAAAAAAGACGAACAAAAAGCGCCGAAGAAAAAATCGAAACATTGTAAAACGGTAAAGCGTGGTAATATGCTGTGTAGCGTTTGTTATAATCCGAAAAATGATGAAAAAGCCGAATCATGCTCATACAACTCCGATCCAAGTGAAAAGAACAAAAATTATGAATACTCCGAAGATACGAGCTACAGCACCAGGGATAAAAAACCGGAGGAGTTTGACGGTAATAATGAAAATGATGAATCTGATGAAAATGAGGGGAAAAAGAAACGTCCACCAGTAAATAAGTACCCAGCGCAACATCATCGTCCCCAGTCGCAACATGAGTCACGATACCAACCACCTCCGCCACCGCCGCCATCATTTGCACCTCGTCCACATCAAAATCAAAATTATGGTCCGCAAACTTTTTTACCGCAAAATTTTCAACCAATATCAGTGCTGCCAACGGGGAACGGCCGACCGATTCGTATTCAAATAAAAAGCGTACCACCGCAGGGACCACCATTTTCTCTAATTCGCTATCGAACTGTCGAAACTCCGTTTGGTAATCAGCATATTCGTTTAATCACGTATCCAAATGGTCCACCGTCATCGTATCCACCACAAAACTACCACCAAAATCGACCACAACCACCATCATCACAATACTACAACAATCGTCGTCCCGTGTCAGCTGCACAAGAATTTCGACCACCGCGCGATATAAACGGTGCACACAGTGAAAGTCTACTGTCGAATGTTACAAAAGAGCATCAATTCGAATATTTACCCAATCATTCGCATAATGGTGGTAACCGTGAGTATGCGGCTTTCATGAAAAAGGATTGGTCAAGGTGTAGAAAAACCATGGAAAATAATCAAGTGTGCTTCGAGTGTTATGTTGAGGGTGAACGACGAAAAGAATGCATGTTTGCCAATGTTAAACGGCCGGGAAACTTCTATAAATCATATTCAACGTCGAAAAAATTCAACACCAACCATCCGTATGCATTTGATTTGCCCGTTCCGTCCGTATCAAAGCATTCGAAACACATTGAACAAAACAGCAACACGCATTCCGGGAAACGCAATAAAAACAAGGATTACAGTGTTGAACAATTCGGCGGTGATAGCAACAGCGATGAGCGCTTCAGTGCCGATTTGAAATTAGCCAAATACGAAGAGCAACCAAATAATTCGAACGATTGGAATGTTGATCAGAATGGCAAACAAGAGCGACCACAAGCGCAACCGCTCCATTCATCCGTGGCGGACATCGTATACGGTAAAGCTCGACCAGGACCAGAACCATTGGCAATATTTTTCCAAACTGATCCCACAATATTCGATACCATCGACAGCAACAACAATAACACAAATATAGATTTAAATCCAAATATCAGTACAAACAACACAAAAGCAACGTAAATGCAAAACCGTCAATCGGTGCAAATATGTGATGTGTGACATGAATTGACATAGAGACGCGTGTGTACGGATTTCTATACTACTATTTACATTCTATTTTACCTAATAAGCCAAAGTGTGGTCTATGAAAATTGAGAGCACAAGTGATGGCATAACAACTTTTTTCAATGCTTAATACCGGTGTCTGTTTACTGTTTGCCCCTTCGTCTGTTAACAACTACTCACAATTGATGATTGCTGCTCTATGACGGAAACCGTTGATTTAACGTCACAATGTCATAATATTTTATGCTCGATTTACAATTAGATACGCATGCCACATTCATTGTGCATTTCTTCTTTTGGACCATTCGAAAGAAAGAGAAATAGAAAAAAAAAAAGAATAATCAACACGTTTCTGTTGCGTTGTCACAGATAATAACCGCACGATTTTGACATACCATTCGATTTGTGTTATTTGCCTTTCTTTTGTGCTTCATCGCTGAATGGAAATCAATTTTTATATAAAAAAGTG